GAAGGCAACACGCGGATTATCTGGTCTCAATTATGAAGTGCGTCTCAGTTTAATCGGAATGTTTTCCTCCGAATACCGACGACTACGCGGAGATCTCATTCTCGCATACCGGATATTAACGGAAAGCGATCACCAGTGCAAATCGCTGCTCACCCTAGCCTCATATAAGCGATCGAGAGGTCATAACCTCAAGCTGATAATCCAACACTCCCGATTAGACTGTAGAAAATATTTTTACTCTCTTAGAATCTGTTCACAATGGAATGACTTGCCAACGCATGTGGTAAACGCTCCGAACATTACAGCCTTCAAACAATCGTTAGACATTCATCTGAGTGACAAACAACACATCGTGGTGTGAGGTACTAGGTTTAGACTATTGGCATTTCAGTTCCATGTCGGAATCTAATGATTTTTATTTATTTTGCATTTACCATCCTATGGGTCTAGTAAAGCCAATGCTTTTTATCCCATCATACACTATTGAACTATTGAGTAGAGAACTTTGTCCGAATTGTTTCCTTTGGTTTAGGAATGGCTTTGATCCCGGGAAGCATTATACTTCTCTCAGTATTCCAGTGATCGAGCAATGGTTGATGATGGGAATAAAAGTGAAGGCTCGGCATTTCCCGTAGGATAGTGAGGGTGAAAATCGAAAAATAAAAAAACCGTGTAGGTAAAAGAACCGTGAAATACATGACTCACCAAGGGGTATGGATTAGCACATAAGCTAGTATTCCTACATATATTATAGGGGGTTAATAATGTCGTCCACTGTTTTTGTTCGCGAATGCCATTGTGCGATGACCATGGACTAGATCACGTAGTGTAAGTGTGTCAGAGTATCCTCAAGGCGTTTGTTAGAAAGGTATAAAGTAGGAGCATTCATTACATTTGCCAGGAGGGCGTTCCAAGGCCGTGACCCTCGGAAGGAAAAGAAGTTTCGTCGAAATTCCAGTCGGCTGTACTGTGTGAAAGCTTAAAGGGATGACTCCTTAGAGATGTATTATAACTGAGTTTCAAAAGAGAATGGCATGTAGCATTGGGGTTTATCAGTATCTATCGTAGAAGGCAGAAGTCACGATTAAACTCCACACGAAAATCTGCCTCGACGGGGAATCGAACCCCGGTCCACGAATTTCCGGTCCGTTGCTCTACCACTGAGCTACCGAGGGCTGACGATTAGGTGCGGAATTTAACACGTGACTTCTGCTTAGTGCGCGACGTATTGCCAATGAGCTCACAGTAACTGTCCTGGTGTTGCAGATCGGCTCACTCACTCGTCACTTCCCAGTGGACCGAAGTAACTGTCCATCGCCCTTTGGACTTCGGATGGACAGTTACTTCGATCCACTGGGAAGTGACGAGTGAGTGAGCCGATCTGCAACAACAGGACAGTTACTGTGAGCTCATTGGCAATACGTCGCGCACTAAGCAGAAGTCACGTGTTAAATTCCGCACCTAATCGTCAGCCCTCGGTAGCTCAGTGGTAGAGCAACGGACCGGAAATTCGTGGACCGGGGTTCGATTCCCCGTCGAGGCAGATTTTCGTGTGGAGTTTAATCGTGACTTCTGCCTTCTACGATAATTACGTTCCTCACAAACACCCTTCAAATAATCTACCATCGCCCTTTGGACTTCGGATGGACAGTTACTTCGGTACACTGGGAAGTGACGAGTGAGTGAGCCGATCTGCAACACCAGGACAGTTACTGTGAGCTCATTGGCAATACGTCGCGCACTAAGCAGAAGTCACGTGTTAAATTCCGCACCTAATCGTCAGCCCTCGGTAGCTCAGTGGTAGAGCAACGGACCGGAAATTCGTGGACCGGGGTTCGATTCCCCGTCGAGGCAGATTTTCGTGTGGAGTTTAATCGTGACTTCTGCCTTCTACGATACTTACGTTCCTCACAAACACCCTTCAAATTATCAGGATCTGTTACACCAGTATGAGATCGCCCCTTAGGCGCCAGTAATGTCAGCTGTATATTCGGACGTAATTCAGCATTAGTGAGTAGGGAAGGCGGGACAAACGTCCAACCTTCTTTGTCGCCCTGCGTTGTGCGGTATCAAGCGCGGTGTGAGGGTGTTTCTTCCAGGGTTGACACGCTTAAATCTGGTATTCCGTATGCGGCTTCACGTGGGCGTCAAGCATTTTCGGAAGCTTGAGATGTCAGACTCCCCGAACGCTCTACGAAGAAGGCCGAAGTGTTCGTTGGATTTCTTTGAGAACTTTGCAGTCTGCCTTAAACACCCAAGGTCCTCATGCACAGGCGCGCCGAGATCGAACTCATGAGAAGCCCGCTGTAAAAGTTCCGGTTCTTAGCGATACTTGTGAGTACTCGCTGATGGCGTATGCTCAGAATTTGGCAATTTACGGGGTTGAAATGCAACATGTTTTCGATGGACCATTTGTACGCTTTGTTCAGTTCATCCTGTAAGGCTGTGTGATCCTCCACTGAGACGATAGCATGCGATATCTTTAGATCATCTGCAAATAGCAGATAGTTTGAAGACAGAATAGTTGCTAGATCATTTATGAAAACCAGGAACAGGCGTGGCCCGAATACCGAGCCCTGAGGTACGCCGCACCGAACTTCGATTGGTTCTGACAGGGTGCTGCAAACCCTCACATTCAGGCGACGTTGAAGGCAAAAGTCGCCTAACTACCCCAAAACGGGATCGCCTATGCCATAATTCTGGAGTTTGTGCAGTAGAATGCAACGGTCCAGGCGGTTTAATACCTTTGAAAAGTCCAGATAGACCGCATCCACCCCTACATCAGCGTCCACTGGTTGCGTCTAGCTTACTTGAGTTAGCAACGGATTAGCGGTGCAGGACTGATTTTGGCGAAATTCTTGCTGCTCCGGAACGAGGATTTTGTTATTCTCCAAGTACTCCAGGAACGTCTCAACTATAATGGACTTCAAGCTTTTGGAAAACAACGGAAAAAGTGTAATCGGATGATAATTTGCTGGTTCTGCACGGTTTCCGCTTTTGTAGATTGGCGCGATGATCCCGTGCTTCCACATTTTGGAGACGTGCACTTCATTAAGACATCGCTGATAGTGTTGTTCAAGGTTCAGCTAAGCTCATAGCGGCAACTTTCAACGCCTTCGGGCGAATGTCATCCTCAACCGGGGAGCTGTTTTCGCCCAAGGACATCAACCGCTTCAACATAGCTGTGGCTGTGAAAGATATGTGGTTAAGACCTGATGGCGGCATGAGCTTCGTAGGCATGGTATAGGATGGTCACACACTCTGGATGGTACGGCCAAATTTTTGTCCAAGAACGTTGGCTGCCTCTTGTGCCCTTTGTGTTAACCCGCATGCTGTGTGCAAAGCAGGAATTACTCGCTTAACGCTGCGAAGTTTGTTTATGTGTCTCTATAACAGCTTTGAATTAGTGCAAAATGTTACCACAAGGTCTTATTGGTTCTTTACTTTATCCTCCCAAACGAGTTTAACACAGTAGTTCGTTCGTGTTGTATAGACGTC